GTGTGGAACTGTCGTGTGGTTGCGCGTGCACATGATTGATTGCGATTTACCACGAGGTTGCAACATGCGATGAAGTTTTAGCAGAACGATGAAATACAGCAACACTGTTGGGTGTATGGTTCGACCTGTGTTGTTGGTGGCCCATCCCTCCGTACGCCCAAAACTGATTCGCAGGCCCAAGTACTGGCAGCGAATGTTCTACAATGGGCACAAGAGGAAGCACGCCATGAAGTTCCAAGGGGTAATTACACCAGACGGGCTATTTGTGGATCTGTGGGGCCCCGTGGCGGGGACACGTCATGACAGCTTTATTCTAGCGCAGTCTGGGTTGATGGAGAAGTTGTCGATGCTAAACAGCCCTACAGGCCATCCGTACTGTTTGTACGGAGATCCGGCGTATGGACTAAGCAACTACCTTGTCTGTCCTTTTAGCGCGTCAAGTGTCGGCCCTCGAACGCCAGAGATGGCCGACTTCAACAAGCGTATGAGCCACTGCCGCGTAACGGTGGAGTGGGGATTCAAAGAGATGACCGGCAAGTGGGTCTTGGTGAACATGAAGCCGCAGCAGAAATTCTCGCTAAGCCCTATCGCCAAGCAGTACCGGGTAGCCACTCTGCTTTCTAACTGGCACTCATGCATGAACGGGGGCAACGAGATTTCGCAATACTTTGGCGTGGTGCCACTCACTTTCGAGGAGTACCTAGCGGTGTAAGTGCAAGATGCACACACGTTGTGTGAGAATTCTAGGCATCTTCGGTGTTCCAGTCGTAAACCAAGACAAGTTTGCTGGCGTGAGCAAGTCGCGCACGATAGAATTTCCAATTTTATGTGAGTTGCGAATGATCAGCGCCAAGATGATTTTTTCTCCTTGGTCGTTTAGGTGGGCAAACGCGGGCGATGCAGACGGCAAGCACGGACGGTGTATGAATATCGTACGGGTGTGTAAGCATTGCGTAACAATCGGATGCCGCGGTTATTGGGGACAGTTAGTTTGGAGGGTTTTAACGGTTAACTTCCTGGGAGTCTAATTGTTTGGTGCTAAGAAGTCGTCTCCTCCTTGCTGGTCATTTATGATGTGGGCAAACGCGAGCGGATGCATAGGGGAAGTACGGAATGTATCGTGCGGGTGAAGCACTGCGCAAAAGACAGACGCCACTTGTTGGATGCCAGTTTCATTGTTCAACTGTTCCTCCTGATAAAAGACTCCCCCGAACAGGCAAGCCTCCCCCGAAAAAAACGCGCAAGGCGCAACGGCCGCCACGATTTTTATTATAAGACCCTGCTGTTGAAAAAAACAAAAACACATGGAACGCATGCCCTAACAACTGCAGCAGCAGCAAGGGCGAAAACCCATTCCCATTTTTCCCTACCCGAACAGGCAAGCCCCCCCGAAAAACACGCGCAAGGCGCAACGGATGCCACAATATTTTTTTGACGAGCCTGTGTTGAAAAAACCAAAAACACATGGAACGCATGCCCTAGCAACTGCAGCAGCAGCAAGCGCGAAAACCCATTCCCATTTTTCCCTACCCCGAACAGGCAAGCCCTCCCGAAATAAACGCGCAAGGCGCAACGGACGCCACGATATTCTTTTGAAGAGCCTGCTGTTGAAAAAAACAAAAACACATGGAACGCATGCCCTAGCAACTGCGGCAGCAGCAAGGGCGAAAACTATTCCCGTTTTTCCCCACCCCGAACAGACAAGCCCCCCAGAAAAAAACGCGCAAGGCGCAACGGACGCCACGATATTCTTTTGAAGAGCCTGCTGTTGAAAAAAACAAAAACACATGGAACGCATGCCCTAGCAACTGCGGCAGCAGCAAGGGCGAAAACTATTCCCGTTTTTCCCCACCCCGAACAGACAAGCCCCCCAGAAAAAAACGCGCAAGGCGCAACGGACGCCACGATATTTTTTTGAAGAGCCTGCTGTTGAAAAAAACAAAAACACATGGAACGCATGCCCTAGCAACTGCAGCAGCAGCAAGGGCGAAAACCCATTCCCATTTGTCCCTACCCCGAACAGGCAAGCCCCCCCGAAAAAAACGCGCAAGGCGCAACGGATGCCACGATATTTTTTTGAAGAGCCTGCTGTTGAAAAAAAAAAAAACACATGGAACGCATGCCCTAGCAACTGCAGCAACAGCAACCCCAACCAGCTAGCTAGTTATTGTTGCCCTTCGCCTTCGCCAGGTCTACCTGGAGTTGCATCATCCTGATTTGGTGATCACGATCTTCCTTATGCTCTACCCGTGCAGCCGCCCTCTCCACTTCACGCTCTTGTCTGTCGTGTTTCCTT